GTGGGTTTAAACCGTCAACCCTGTGGTTTTGTAGTCCAGTACTGATCCTGTAGCAATACACTAGGACTTGAGGAGGCTAGAAGTCTGAATTCAGGGTACCAGGTCTAGGGAAAGACTTTCTCTCTCTGCATCAGCTCTGGGTGAAGGTCCTTGTCTCTCTTCAACATCGGTGGGCTCAGCGTTGGTTGGGGGGGGCGGTGTCCTTGTATGTTGGAATCAGTCCTTCCCTGGGTCTAGGAGCTTCTCAGCATAGTGTCCCTGGGTTCAAAGGAGGCACTCCACTCCTGGGTCTTCTTCCTTGGCCTTCAGGTCTCACTGTGTCTGCTTGCTTCTCTCACAAGAGTAAGCCATTGTAAGGAGGACTAGCTTTCATACTAAAATGGCATGTCATGGTTTTTTTTTACCACTATTTCCATTTACCAAATTTGTTGTTGCTAAATGCCATCAAGTCCGTTCCAACTCATAATGAGGGCTATGGGGGTTCCAAGGAGCAGCTGTGAGTTTGAACCATTAACTTTGTGATTATCAGTGCACAGTTTATCCTACAGCACCACACAGTATATATAAAACTAAGCCTATATACCCACGTGACCTGGACAGGATGACTGGATGATCAGAGCTCAACCAGGAGAAGAAAGAAGAGGAAAAAAAAGAGTGATCTGATACAATTTGATGAACTTGACCTACACCTATGGATGCAGTGACTCAAAAGAAGGAACAAATCCTTACAGCAAGAAACATTCCCACCCCCTCCACACACAGAATGGACAGAGATGGGCAACTTGGACATTGGATACCCAAATGGGGTGGGAGGGGGACTACAAAGGCAAGAAGTGACTGGCTTACAAGCTTTCAAGAGAGAACCTAGAGCTAGGGGGCATGGAGGAAGGCAGAATTGCTCATATATCCAAAGAAACAGAGACTAGAGCATCCTGGCTATCCTTCTTCTAAGACAGATTTGTTTGTTCTTCTGGCAGTCCATGGTACTTTCAGTATTCTTCCCAATACCTTAATGCAAATGCATCCATTCTTCTAAGTCTTCCTTATTCATTGCCCACCTTTCAGATGCCTGTGAGGCAATTGAAAATACCAATCCTCATCAGACACACCTTTGTTCTTTAACACTTTAAAGAGTGCTTTACAGCAGATTTGCCCAACACAGAACGTTGTTTGATGTCCTGACTGCTGCTTCCATGGGCATTGATTATGAATCAAATGGAAGTCCTTGACAAGTTTCAATCTTTTCTCCATTTATCGTGATATTGTTACTCCTTTGTTAGTGTGTCACACTGGTGGCTTATGTGTTGCTGCGATGCTGGGTCACCCATGATGGACAGGATTCAGCAGAGCTTCCAGACTAAGACAGACTAGGAAGGAGGAGGAATAGAGATTAGCCATTGAAAACCAAATGAGTAGTAGTGGGAAGCTGGGGTTCAAGTAGAAAACCATATGAACTGTGGAGTCTTACAGACTTGGGTTCAAATCCTGGCTCTGTATTTGCATATACTCACCTCCCTTGTTGTTGTTGTTGTTAAGTGCTGTCAAGTTGTGCCAACTCATAGCGGCCCTGTATAGGGTTTCCAAGGAGCAATTGGTGAGCTTGAACCACCGATCTTGCAGTTCGAACAATTCTGCCGTCCAGCACATTAACCCGCAGCACCACACCAGGACTGCGCTCCCTTGTTGTTGTTCTGAAGTGTCGAGTCGGCTCCCACCCATAGCGACCTTGTATAGGGTTTCTGAGGAACTGCTGGTGAGCTTGAACCACTGACCTTGCAGTTCAAACGGCTTTGCAGTCTGGCACATTAACCCACAGCACTACACCAGGACTGCGCTCCCTTAGTATCTGTAAAATCAGATTACTGGGAGCAATAGTAGAATCTGTCCTACTGCAGCAGGTGGGCGAGTGCGAACCAAGGTCCACTCAATACTGATTCCTCTGAGGCAAAAGTTGGACATAACTCCACCCTTCAGCTTTTTTCAAATTCTGACACCAGGCGTTCCTGCTATGCACTCTCCGTTTCTCTTCTGTGCTTCATAATCCTTTGCAATAGCCACTCAAAACTCAACAGAGCATGTTGGCAGTGAATTTAGCAGTTAACTGACTTCGTAAGGACAAAGGTACAACTTAAAGTCAGGAGCAAGAAGTATGCATATAGAGTGTCCCTTCTTCAGCTGTCTTGCACCTGTGACCATACAGGTCTCCTTTCAGCTCTTCCATTCAGCCCCTTCCAGGTCTGTCACTGGTTCCCTGCTGGTCCCCTCAGGCTTTCTCTGGCTCCTGTGTTACAACTCATTTAGAAGGTTCCTTGCCTCTTCTTTTTATTCTTCTCCTTCCTGCAGCTTCTCTTCATATGGCTGGCTGCTTATATCTATAAATTCCTTGTCAATTTCAAGGCATGACCCTCCCACCAAGGCCACAAATTGACCAATCCCTGACTAATCCCCTCTCAGTAAGCCACAGACACCTCATTTGCATAGTAGTTGCCACTGGGCTATAACTCACCTTATTTACATAGTCCATTGACCAATCTCTGCAGAGTGCATACTAATCACTGGTATGCCAGTCTGCAATCCAGGGTCAGGCAGAAAAGTATTAAGACAAGCGGTGGACTATGGCTTAGGTGCTGGACTGCTAACTGTGAGGTGTGTAGTTTAAACCCACCACTGCTTCACAGGAAAAAGATGAGACTGTCTGCTTCAGTAAAGATTTATAGTCTCTGAAGCCCTATATAGACTGGGAATCAACTCAATGACAGTGGATTTGGTCTGGGTTTGAGGTTACAACTGATTCTGGTAATGTTAATCAACCAGGACAAAACTAATAAACCAACTGGGGCAGGATGTCTCAAACCAAAACCAAAGGTAACATAAAGGAACTCATTCACCACCAGGTCCCCTTCGTCTTGGGGAGTGGACATGACATCTTCCCAGCATGGTTATTGTGGGGATGTGTGTGCCAGCAGGAAGCAGCAGGCCATCTCTACACGAGGTGGAGAGAGGGGGACCCTCTTGGAAGTTTGTTTTCCTTGTAGGAAGCTTGCCCTAGGGATGACCTCAGTCCATGCCCTTGAATCCTTTGGGGCTCTGGTTTGCCCCCCGTACTGCCAGGGATGGCCTCAGCTTGTCTGGGCAGTGGATGCCCAAGGGGACTGAGGCCAGTAGCTAAGCCTTGACAAGCATCGCTTTTCTGTCCTCATTTTCTCCCTCCCTCCCTCTTGTCTTTCTGGTAGCGTAGTGGTTACGAATCCGGCTGCAAATCTCACGGTCAGCCGTTCGAAACTACCAGTGGTTCCGTGGGAGAAAGTTGAGGCGTTCTGCTCCCGTAAAGATATATAGCCTCGGAAACCCTGTACAGGGCTGCTATGAGTCGGAACCGACTCCAAGGCATATAACAACAACAGCAACTTGCCTTTCTTGGAATTCAGTTCCCTGTCTCTAGAAGGCCTGACCCAGTAGCTGGTTTGTCAGGAAAGTACTTATTTAAGTAATCTGTGAAAAGAGCCCAAGGAGGGGAAGGAGACCTTTCTCTACATATAGACAGGGCTCATCGTGATAAGGAAGGAGCCTGGTGGTGCATTGGGGTAAGAGAGTTGAGCTGTTAACCACAAGGTCAGCGGTTCAAACACACCAGCCACTCACTCCATGAGAGAACGAGGAGCCTGGCTGCCTCTGTAAAGATTGACACCCTCAGGACACCCTCAGAAATCCTATGGGGCAGTTCTACTGTCCTTTAAGGTCACTGTGAATGAGAATCAACTCAAGGGCAAATGTCTACCTTCCCTAAACACACATTCATTCAGAAAGCACAGCGTTGGTGAGGAACTTAGGACCAGAATCCCCTGCATCTGGTTTTGAACCTTTTTATTTATGCATGCTCTTTTTTTTGCCATTAGATCGGCTTTGTTTTCCTTACGAAGGCACATGGTTCATACATCACAAGGTGAACTGACTCCCTTTAATCACTGTTTTTGTTTTACAGCAAACCTAAGGAACCCGTGTTCAGTTCAGGTATGACTTCCTTTTTCTGTGGGGGTGAAGGGTGGGCTGGGCACATCAGAAGGGGTTATTTCCTGGGGCTGGACTTATGGTTTATGTGGCGGGTGGCAGTGAACATGGTACAAATGCCAGCTGGGGTCAGCGGCTGAGGTAATAAAAGAGAGACCCTCATGAAAGATCATGACAGCTTCTTACTGACCCCCTTCAGAACTGATGGCAGATCCTGTCACAGCGTGACCTACTGCTGGTCAGAGTGTTTGCCTTCCCGTAAAGAGACGGTTTCTGATGCTCCAAGTTACAACTCACAAAAATAGCTTTTCTCTTCCTGCCTTTGATTTTATAAACTGCCAACTAATAATTAATGATGCCACTCCAGCATCATTTCTCTCACCAAGGGCGTATTTTCCAACTACTGATCCTTCCTCTTTGTTTCCTTTACGTTAAATAACCAGTAATTATCAATACATCTTGATGGCATGTTTGATCAATTTAAGACTGAAGAAGCTGGTTGTTTTCGTTGATCATTGTTGTCAAGTCAGTGTTTCCGGCTCATAGTGACCCTGTATAGGGTTTCCGAGGAGCAGCTGGTGAGCTTGAATGCTGGTCTTGCAGTTCAAACTGACCTTGCAGTCCAGCACATTAACCATAGCACCATGTCAGGACTCCAGAGAAGCTGGTAGAATTCTTCAGTTTCATCATCACTGGCTTTAAGAGCTCTGGTATCATAGTGGGTTACACTAGCTGGAAATCAGCAGTTCAAATCTACCAGCCACTCCATGGAAGAAAGGTGAGGCTTTCTGCTCCCCTGAAGATTTATAGTCTCAAAAGCCCTACACAGGGTCACTGTGAGCCAGAACCGACTCGATGGCATATAACCACCATCATCCCTTTCTGTATAACTTTTTTAAAACACATTTTATATAGGGTAGATGCTGTTTTTAGCACATTAACCTTATTTTAAAATGCATCAAAAGGGCCAACAAATTGGCAAGCATGTCACTAGTTAAATCAATTCACTTCATTCTGATTTCCCAATTCCCCCCCCCCTTCTTTTTTTTTTCTCAGAATCAGGACCTAAAAGTTAGAATGTGCTTTATTTGTCATGTAATTTTCAGGAAGCAGGAGCTCGAGCCCTGGAAATGTAACAGCCAGGAGCTCCACAGAGCCACATTCTGCATGTACTTGTCCGAGTCCCTGAACCGTGTCCAGATCTCACTCCGGGGCAGGGGTGGGGGCCCGGGTCATATCTCCCGGGGCTGGTGGCCAGTCCCATTGCAGTACTCCACATTTCTTCATCTAGCCCTTCTGTCTCTGTCTCCGAAATCTCAAGGGAAACGCCGGGTGACACACTGCAAAGGTAGGCGGGTCACTGACACCTGTAACTCTCCAAGCAGAGCTGTTTTCAGACTCCAGAAACTGTTTCATCCAGGCAGACCCTCATTCTGCTTGTATGAGAAGGCTTCTGGGGTACATACGGCCATGGACGCTCACAGCATCTTGAACATTTCCTTGGCCGGCCTTCAGTAAGTGCCTGCAGTCTGGATCTTGATGGGCTATTGGCCGATGATGTAAACTTGGAGAGAGCTATAGGGCGACCCCTGGACATCCCACTGATTGAAACAAAACCTGCATGGGTCTTGGCCCCTCCCCACTCAAGTGGCTTTGGCTTTGACGGTTGTGTGCTCTTAACTTAGCATGCCTGGAAAGAAAAAGAAACAAATCCCTCCCTTTCCCGTGCCGCGTTTTGGTTGTGAGGTAGGATTTTTGAACAACCAGTACCAGTGTCGAGGGTAAACTCAGTGTTTTTATTTTGGGGGTGGGGTGGGAAAGGCTTTATCGCTCTGAGTCAGAATCGACTCACCAGCAGTGGGTTTGATTTTTTATTTTATCGAGTAATTTAGAAGTCTGCGATAAGTTAGCATCAGTTGTGAAAACACATCAGCCAGCAGTAAGTACAATAGGGTCCTGTGGATATTTCATATCCCAGGGAACAGATAATGGAGACTTGGTGGAACAGTGGGTTTAAGTGTCAGACTACTGACATCCAGTTCTGAAGTTCAAACTCACCAGCCGCTCCTTTGGAGAAGGATGGGGCAGCCTGCTCCCGAAAATCATACAGAGCAGTTCTGCTCTGCCTGTGGGGTCACCATGAGTCGGAATCAACTCGATGGCAGTGAGTGAGATCATACACGGAGCCCTGGTGGCACTGTAGGTTAAGCATTGGGCTGCCGACCTCTAGATTTGCAGTTCAGACCCACTCCATGGGAGAAAGGTGTGGCTGTCTGCTCCTGTAAAGATGAACAGTCTCGGAAAGGCCAGGGAATAGGTCCACCCTGTCCCATAGGGCTGTGGGAGTTAGCTTCAGTTTCCATGGTTTGAGTTTGGGGTCCCTCCACAGTGGACTTGGTGCTGTAGGAATGGCGTTCTAGTCCCTTCACCCATCTCTGTGAGCTTCCGGATAGGACAGGTTCCTTCTCTACATAGAGGTTGATGGAGCCACCCTCTTGCCCTTCATCTCACCCACGCCTGTCCTTTATCACTCCTGACAGTTTGTGGGGCCACCCTGCATTTGATGAGCTGGGATGTGGATGAGGGATTAAGGAAAGGGAGACTTGGTGGGCGAGGAGCACGGCAGTAGCAGAGGCTCCAAAGCTGCAGAAGGTGTCGAGGAGGGAGCATCCAGGTGGGCCATCCAGGTGGGAAACAGGGCATGGAGGTGAGAGAGCACTTCACAGAGCAAAAGCAGCCTCAGATTTTGAGTGGAAAGGACTCAGTGAAATCCCCTTGGGACCCTGATATGGTGAGGGAAGAGATAAGAGAACCCTCAGGGTTGGGACCTCAGATGGACTAATCCGGGGTAGCTGGGAGGCTGGAGGTATTGTGAAAGGCATCCACCAGGTGCGAGAGGAAGAGGTGATGGCCAGATAGCTGCAGAAAAGGCCTTGTTGCCAAGGTCTCTGAAAAGACCAGCTTGATCTTCAGAGTGAAGGGTGTCTGGTCTGCATGCCTTTGAAACCCAAGGGCATGCTCACATTAACGTAAACCCAGGACCGCCATTGACGGTTTAAGCAATAATGCATGTGGCATTGTTTGAAAATTCCTTAGGACTAAGACTGACAAGACTAATCTTTAAATGTACTCACAGTTCCGTGGTTACTCCATGCCCTTTGCTCACCAAATTCCTGTATACAGACGGGCTTCCTGTTGAATTATGTGCAGGCATCTCTGGTCTCAACTGCCCAGTTCAAATGCCATTAAGGCCGGGTCCTCTGATGGGGAGTGATGCATCAGAATTCATCCAGTTCTGAGTCTGAGCAGAACTCTTCAAGAACTCATCAGACATTGTGTTAGATTTTGTTAGATCCTGAAAGCATAATCAGAAAACATCAAGTATGGTTGGGTTTTTCTTTTTAGTTCTAGAAGTTTCCCTGTATCCGTATCTGAATGGTTTTTGCTTTTTGTCCTTACGATTTGTTTATTGAAACATCAAAAAGATGTCTTATGGAAATCTTTGTTCTAGAACACCTTCCCATATTTCTCTGTCTAGTGAATCTTTTGTTCACCTGCTTGTCTTTGGGCGTTTGCGTCTTGCATGTGGCCTAGCATGGACTTCTGATGGCTTTGTCTTCCTTACACTTGAAAGCGTGGTCCCATGTGAAAGATAAGAGACGTAGCTTTACATTACAATATAGCGAAACAATGTAAGTACTGAAAGATTTTATGGAGTTTGGGACTGACATTACTTATGCATTGAACTCTGTCCAAAATTGGAGTTGGCTCCTTTTGCTGTCATGTTTGGAGAGGCATTTTTTTTTTCCCCTCCTGATGTTAAGCAGAAGGAACTCTAGTGACTCAGTGTTTAAGCACAGGGCTGCTGACCTAAAGAAAGGTGGGCAGTTGGAACAAGAGAAACATGAGGCAGTCTGCTTCCATAAAGACTTCAGCCTTGAACCCAATGAGGCAATTCTACTCTTGTCTTGTCAGGACCGACCTGACAGTAATGAGTTTAGTTTAGATTTGATTTATATATGCTTTATAATAAGCAAATAAAACACCAAATTTTTTCACAGTAAGTAATTGTTGGGGTCTAGTTCTTTCCTTCATTTTACAATCATCTACTTTTTGTTGTTGTTAAGTGCTGTCGAGTCAGTTCCGACTTATAGCGACCCTGTGTACAACAGAACGAGCCACTGCCCGGTCCAGCTCCATCCTCAGTTGTTAGGGTTGAGCCATCTGTTACTGCCACTGTGTCAAACTGTCTCGTTGAGGGTCTTCCTCTTGAGAGTTTAAGGTTCGGATTAATAGACAAGACACAAACTTTTGTTTCAAAAACAGTTCAACTTTTTTGTTATTTTTTACCCCATGACACGAATTAGAGGGTCACGTTTTCACTTTCACATGGAAAGACTAGAGAAGTTCCAGGGGTTTTCAGGCCCACCGGGCACGGAGCGCGCTTAACTGTTGTCTTTGTTCTCTCTGTAGAAGAAGGCTACGTAAAAATGTTTCTTCGCGGACGCCCGGTAACCATGTACATGCCCAAAGATGAAGTGGATTCTTACACTTTGGAAGCAAAAGTGGAGCTACCAACCAAGAGGCTGAGACTGGAGTGGGTGTATCCTTTATTCTGCTATGTGGCCAGCACCAGGTTCTAAGCTGACTCACTTGACTCTAATGTTAGAAATGCCAAAAATGTAAGCCCTCTTAAGTTTTCTTTAAAAACAAAAACTACTACACTCACTTTAAAAAATATATCAGTCTTAACAAAATTGCCCGTTATGTTTGAACTCAGCACAGGATTTTAGCGAAAGAGGAGCCCATAGAATCACTGCGTATGCGGGAAGGGCTGTTTCATTGTTTCCAGCATAAGCGTTTGTGGTTCCAGACACACACACATTATTTTTTTCTGTAAAGAAAACATCAAATTGTTGTTGTTAAATGCCTTTGAGTCGGTTCCAACTTATAGCAGCATAGGTCTCCTGAGGCTTTAAATCTACACAGGAGCAGAAAGCCTCATCTTTCTTCCACAGAACAGCTGGTGGGCTTGAACCACCAACCTTCTGATTGTCAGTCCAGTACTTATTGTACAGAGCCATGATGCTCCCTAAAATGTTACATGATTGTCTGAATGTCTTTTTTTCTTTTCTTTTTTGGTCAGTGGGGGAAAGCCAGCCTGAATTTCAGTTTTTCCAGCAGTACAGTGAGTCCCCGGGTTACAGATATCTGGTTGATGGACCCTTTGAACTTGCCCTCTGTTGTTAGGCAAATTTGTCTCCACTTTGAAATGTGCTTGCAACCCATTCTTCATCACAATCACATGCAGCTTTTAAATCATTGAGAAAGCTTCTAGCTTATTACACTCGAACCCAAATGAAAGCCACTGCCAATTCTGACTCATTAGGACCCCATAGGACAGGACGGGGCAGAACTGCTCCATAGGGTTTCCAAGACCCTACATCTTTGCAGAAACAGACTGCCACACCTTTCTGCTGCTTGCTTTAAAATAAGACTAAATAAGAACCTGGTGTGGGATTGCTGGATAAGTACTAGACTGCTAACACAAGGTTGGTGGTTCATACCCACCAGCCACTCCTCAGAAACTGCACAGGGGGTTACTAAGAGTCGGAAGAGATTCGACAGCAGTTAACTGTTGTTACGGACAATTAAGGGCCTTATGCACCTGTTCCAACTTACCTACAAATTTGACTTTGTTACAGATACCATTTGTAACCCAGGGACAGCCATGAACACGTAATGCTCTTTAGAGATGGATGCTTAATAGTAATCACCAATGTGAATCTGGACTCTAATGGAAATGAAAGAGCTGCTTGTTTGTAATTGGCAAACATTATATACTGAACCAGCTTCTCAGTGACTGGTGGGAAACTGTACATGTTTACAAGGAACAGCAGGGAAGAGGCAAGAAAATCTTGGACTTATGAGTGAGAACATAGTAATGAAGCTAAACTGTGCTGGCAGAAACGTTTCAACTCAAAGAAAAGATGAGGGAACCAGAACCACAGTAGATGGACCCTGATAGAATGGGAGAGAAATGTTGGCGAGAACCTCAAATTCCTAAAATAATAAGCAATCATCAGACCTACTGGGCTGGTTGAGACTATAGGTTCCCAGACACTGTCACCCTGAGACACTCTTCCAACCTTGAGCTCACCCTGTAACTAAAGAATGAATTGGTTGAAAAAACAACATCACCCCTAAGTCCTGCTCCTCTTTGTAAAAAATCACCTATATGTGATGCAATTGTCAACAGTTACTTGGAAACAAAGGAGAATCTGAGTAGGGAAACTCGATGAATGGAAGTGGAACAACCAGACCAGAAGTCATGAGATGATTGATACATTGTGAAGAATATAATCAGTGTCACCGAACAATTTGTGTTGTTGTTGTTGTTGTTAAATACCGTGGAGTCGGTTCTGACTCATAGTGACCCTGTACAGGATTTCTGAGGCTGTAAATCTTTACGGAAGCAGAAAGCCTCATCTTTCTCCCACGGAACAGCTGGTAGTTTTGAACAGCTGACCTTGAGGTTAGCAGCCCGATTCGTAACCACTACTCTACCAGAGCAATTTGTGTAGAAGTTGTTGAATGGGAACCTAACCCGCTTTGTATAAATCTTCACCCAAAACACAATAAGATATTATTTAAAAAAAAAGAAAGGATACAGGACACCCTGAAAGAAGTATTCTAGGGTAAACAATGTCGTCTCATACCAAGTGGGAACCTGGTCAGGCTATTTAAAATTCTAACTTCAAAATGTTAAAGAGCTGACTGCCATGGAATTGACTAGCACTAACAGCGGCCCCGTGTGTGTCAGAGTAGTTTTCGGTGGCTGGTTTTTGGAAGTAGAGCACCAGGCATTTCTTCCTGGGTGCCTCTGGGCAGAGTCAGACCTCCAGCCTTTGTGTGCGCAGCATTACTCTCACACAAAGGTGTGGAGAGATGGATACTAAAGTTCTAAATGAAGAGAGTACAGTGAGTACCTTAAATAACTGGCACATACAGTATCAATACAATTCCACCTTAATAGAAAAGAAAATGCTCCTCCCAAAAGCTAGGCCACAAAACTCTGAGTGAATCATCTGAGGAACGTTCTTGTTCGCTGTGAGGTTTGGAAAGGTGAATGGGCTTCCCGAGGAAAGACAGTAGCGCCTTAGGAAGGGGTGAATGAAATGTTGACCCTCTCACTGAAGAGAGCTTGCCAAGCAAGACCACCTTCTAGAAGGCAGGCACATCTTAAGGCAGAGAATAAAAGTCAAACCAGACGCTTGGTCAGCACGCAAACGATGTACACATTTAAAAGGTTCAGCGGGACCAATTCGGCCTGTAAATTAAAAGCATGAAAACAACTCCACAACCAGAGCAACAGATAAAGCCATCATTTCCAGAAGTCTCCTCGTGCCACTTTGTAATTCTCCCCTCCTGCCCACCCCAGTGCCCAGGAAGCTGGTCATCTGCTCCCTGTCACTGGACGATCTCGTCTTTCCAGGAATCTTATGCAAATCCTGAAGTATGTTCATTGGGTGATTGATCATGCTTTTCATTCAGTGTATTTATTTTGAGATTCTAGTCTCATTAGTGGTGGCTGTGTGCTCATGAATCGGTTCCGATTCATAGGGACCCTGTATAGGGTCTTTACAGGTGCTGAAAGCCTCGTCTTTCTCCCACGAAGCGCCTGGTAGATTTGAACTGCTGACCTTGCACTGAGTGGTCCAACATGAAGCCCACTACACTACTCTACCAGGTGTGTCTATTGGTCTCAGTAGTCCATCCCTTCTTATTTCATCGTATGGACACGGCACAATTTGTGTATCCATCCATGTATTGATGGACTTTTGGGTTAAGAAGCTATCGAACAAATAATGATTCTGCTATTTCATACCCCACCCCCCAAGAAGTATAGGAGAGTTCTAGGTGCTCTGAAAACACTCATCAGTCTTTGTAATTCTAGCCATTCGAGTGGGTATGTAAGGAGCCCTGGTAATATAGTGGGGTATGCGTTGGGCTGTTGACCTCAAGGTCAGAATGTTCAAATCCACCAGCCACTCTGCAGGAGAAAGAAAAAAACTTTCTGCTCCTGTAAAGATTTGCAGTCTCAGAAACCATATATAGGGTTGTTGTGAGTTGGAACCAACTCATCGGTACATAGCAGCAGCAATGAATATGTAAGGGGCCTCAGTGGCACAAAGTTAAGCACTTGGCTGCCAACTGAAAGGCTGGCAGTTCAAACCCACCCAGCTGATCCATTATAAAGTTCTATCTTCATGCTCAAATAAATCTCTGTACTGAGTACCTGCTTGGTGCCAAGACTGACGCTCCGATTATAAATGTTGTTGTTGTTAAGTGCCGTCGAGTTGGTTCCGACCCATAGCGACCCTGTATAGGGTTTCCGAGAGTGTAAATCTTTACGGGAGTAGAAAGCCTCATCTTTCTCCCGCGGAGCGGCTGGTAGTTTTGAACCGTTGACCTTAAGGTTCATAGCCCGATTCGTAACCACTACGCTACCAGAGCTCATCCGATTATAAATAAGTTGGTTTAAATTGAAGCCATTAGCTCAGAATTACTGTTTGAGATTATGGAATCATATTCTTTAGAACTTTTCAAAATTTTAACACCTGTATCTAAATCTCTTTCCCCCAAAACACACTTTCTCCTAGATTCAGATGCCATTAATATTTGGAATCTGTTTTGGCACGTGCGATCAAAGGAATTCAGTTAGGTAAAAGATGGCAAATTGGTTGAGTCAGATCTGGAAAATATTGAGAACACATTGGCCCAGTTTACTTCCTTTTCTTATTTTGGAAGCTATAAAACAGAATTTGCTCCAAATATATATATATTTGGTACCCAAGGATAAGTGATGTTTTGCTCACAATATAGTTTCAAAGTTTGGAAGCTCATACATGCCAACATGTTTACAAGAGTAAGTTAGAGGAAGGGAACGTGAATTATTTTTACCTTTTGTATGTATGTGTGTTGTTTGTACCTTTGATAAGGACTTTTGTAATGTAATAAAAAAACCTTTAAAATGAAAACTCTTAACTCTTAGATTACATTCAAAAGTAAACTGAATAAGTAAGGTACACAAAATTCAGTTACCGGTATTTTAAAATGTATTTTAAGTACTTGAAAATGTAAGGAATGCCAAAAACTCAAAGTTTTCTTTTGGAATAGGATTCATAACTTGATACTGCTTCATATTTGAAACAAGATCGTCAATATATTTTATGTTTGCCAAACAAGCTACAAACGCCACACGCTAGAAGAAAGACTAAGTTAATTTCCCAATGGCGAATCTATTAGTAGGCTCCACTACTCTCATTAAACCACAGAGGAGTCCTGGTGGGACGCTGTGGGATAAAGCAATGGACCACAAGGTCGGTTTGAGCCACAGGGCTGGAGGTTCAAACCCACCAGCTGCTCCTTGGAAACTCTATACAGGATTGCTATGAGTTGGAACCTACTCGACGGAACTTAACAACAACAAGGCCAACACAGTCCCCAAGTTGTAAAGTGTGCCACAACCTGAGAATAACATGGATAGTGTGCTCTTTTGGTCCCATTTCTGCTCAGAATCAGCCTCTTGATTCTTTAAGACCAGAGACTCAAGAGTAGAAGAAAAGTAGTATCGTGATAGGCAAGCAGTTCTGAGTAAGCAATATGGCAACTGAAGAGAAATGAATTAAAAAAGAACACACTATCCCCTCTGTATACAGGGTAGATAGGGATGGGCAACTTAGACATTGACTACCTAAAATGAGGGGGCGATAAAGGCACTAAGTGATTGGCTTACGAATTTTCAAGAGGGAGTTTAGTTCAAGAGTGTGCAGGGGAAGGTAGAATCCCCACTGAATAGGTTTAATCTGGTCTAGATGGGTCTAGTAAAAAGAGATGGGGATAAGATTCTTATGATTCCGTAGTGAGTAATTATTATCATGACTAATTGCTATTGTCACAACTGTAAAGGTAGAAGTTTTGAACAGAAACCGGGGAGTAATTAATCTTACAGTCCAGAAACAGAGGACCCTAGGACCATCAAGGGACCAACAAGTGGACTGTGGGACCCTATCCAGAGAAGCAGTGACACCAGAGATGGAGGCAGAGATGGGGACATGGAGAGAGGGAGCAGCTGAGGACTCGAGATTTATGGAAAGAGAAAGACTGAGTGCTGGTGGCCAGGAGGCAGGCTTGCAGAATGTACTCTTGGTTGTTTGAAAATATTATGTATTCCTGAGTGTTTTTGTGTACATCCCACCACCCAGCCCCCCAAAAAGAAAGAAAACCAGAGGGAATAGAAGCAAATACCTTTGAATGATGATGCACAAAGGAGATTGTAAACGTTGCAATGAAACGATGGTGTAAAGCTGATGTTCTCCCATGTAAACTATTACTCAGTTAGCAATAAAAACTTCATAAAAAAATACACACACAAAGGAAAAAGAAAAAAAAAACTTCCTTTTTTTTTTTTTGAGAAGAATCTTCTAGCATTCTTCTGAAATCAGTTTCACTACAACCTCTAGAAATTTTCATTCCAGTGTACTGATGGATGTTGCTGTTTCGCACAATGTTAACATGGTGTTCTGGGTTAAGAATCTGCCAGACTGTCTCCAGAAGACCAACTTGGAAATATGTTAACGGCACACTAGGTGTGAGGATAGGACAGGACTCACACTGTTTTGTTCTATTGTGTGAGTTGGAACGAACAACAGAAAAGGTGTGAGGAAGCCAAGCACCTAAATATAGTACAAATAGCCCCTAGCTGTGGGTTCCCAAATCCATGAGTGATTCCCAGACCCATGATTGATTGGCTAAATTGAAAAGAATTCACATCTAGTAACTTTACAAATGGCTAAGCCAGTTAACTTTAGTAGATAAAAATCATGAATGATCTTTTTGATCTAGCTGAAAAAGCTCTCTTTCAAATACATATATAAAAAAATGTTTAAACATAAAGACATATCTTGGGACTGTTAAAGAAGTATACGTGTTCCCATTCTTTCGATAACTTGAGCACATGCCTGTGAGGGGCAGGTGTATTTGGCCCTCTTTGTAACTGGAAAGTACTTAAATTTAGTGAAATGGAGGGTGATAGTCACATAAGACTTAATTGCTTCTGCCTGTTGGCTGAAGCAGACATCTTTCCAGTTCTTAAAGAAAAGAAAATATTTTGCCTTGACACACACAAAGCTACGGGTACAGGGGTCGAGACTGTCGTAACAACCTGTACCTGCTCCCAACGGGGGAGACTGTGTATTTCATCGCATCTGTGGTTGTGTTGTATAACGTGGAAGAACAGCTGCAGAGGCATTATGCGGGTCACAACAACGACGTCAAATGGTAAGTCCCGCAGGAAGCTGACCCACACTCACGGGTGGAAACAGGATTTGCAGGAGGAGGTCACCGAAGAGAGGAAAAGGGACCTGAAAAGTTAGGGTGTTTGGAGACATTGCCTCTTTGTCTTCTGTGTCGTCTACCTGGCACAAGAATAAGCACCAACCAACAAACTAGAAACCGTGCAGTCCGTCCCGACTCATGGGGACCCGTGGGTGTCAGAGGAGAACTGGTCAGTAGGAGTTCAATGGCTGTGACCTTTCCAGTGTCTGGTCTTTCTTCCAACAGGACTCTGAGTGGGTTTGAACTGCCAACCTTACAGTTGGTAGTCCAGCACTCAACTGTACCACTAAGGGGCTCCTAGCTAGGAGATAACATGTGATTTCCAGACAAAATGTTGGCTTAGACAGCTTTGATTTCCCCCCTAGTACCACATGATCACCATATCACATCAACAAATAGCTCCCGTAGACTTGTGTTTGGAAGTCCTGGCTGACAACATAGCACATGCTAAAGGCTTCTAATTCAGGTCTTGCCTAGTGTTTATGGCTGGTGTGCTGATCCCATGACAAGTTTACAGCCTCGTACAGGAATTGAGTATATCTTGGAAGAACAGACAGATGAGTAGATGAGTTTTATGTATCCGTCAGGGACAGAGATCCTGTGGGCCAAAGCGTCCATCTTACTCTCTGGGGTATAAGAAATGACTTACTGATAAAGGTGTAAACGAATTAAGTGGCTCTGAGGTTACAATGTGATCTTCTTAGAAGAGGATGTTATTCCCCCTCTGGAGTTTCAAAATTCCTGAGAAGAAATAAAAGAATGAAGATTTAAATGAAAGATCTCCCAGTTGTCTCAGTTCATCTGTTAGAAGTTATCTATTAAATGTGTGACTACATTCTGTTTGATGAGGGGCGGGGAACTTACCTTTAGAGTAGAGCTGTTTCTTGTTTATAAATATCCTTTTTCCAGCCTCGCTGTTCATCCTGACAAGATCACCCTAGCAACGGGACAAGTCGCAGGTACATCCAAGGATGGAAAAGTGAGTTCTTGTATTTTTGCACAGTTTTGTTATGAACAGATAGCACAAAGCAGTTTTCTAGAAGCATCATTTTGCTGCTGAATAAGCCTGCTTATTAGACGGAGTTACAGTATCTCTTCCCTTCTGAGCCTCTACTTCAGTTTTTTTAGTTGAGCATTCAAAACTCTGACAGCAGTCTTAGAAACCGTTGGAGCACATATTAGTTTCAGTGATATTTTAGGTAGCGATATTCGTACAGCATCAATGGGCTCAAGTGTGGCAACAATTGTGAGGTTGGCTCAAGACCTGGCAGTGTTTCATTCTGTTGTATATAGGTCACTATGAGTTGGTACCGACTCCATGGCACCTAACAACAACAACATTCTTGCGTGAGCATTCACTGTGTATATAGTGAATATATCTATATGTTGTTGTTGTTAAGTACCATAGAGTCGGTTCTGGCTCATAGCGACCCTGTACAGGGTTATGAGGCTGTAAATCTTCACAGGAGCAGAAAGCCTCATCTTTTTCCTGCGGAACTGCTCGTTGTTTCGAATTGCCAACTTTGAGGATAGCAGACCGATTCGTAACTACTACGCTACCAGAGCTCCATATACATATATGTGTGTGTGTGTGTATATATGTATGTATGTATGTGTGTGTATTGTTGTTAAGTGCCACCAAGTCTGTTCTGACTCGTGGTGATCCTGTATAGGGTTTCCTCAGAGTAGCTTGTGGGTTTGAACCACTGACCTTGTGGTTCACAGTATATTGCTGATTCTACAACGCCACACCAGGAGTCC